TTGTTTTTATTGGTCTTCAGTAATATTCCAATTTTCTGATATGCTGAATTTGAGATTTTCATTTGTTGTCATTTGTAATCATCAAAATTAAACGAAATAAACATTTGAAATATATRASTTTGTRWGTAATGTATGAATATAATATACAAGTTTCACTTTTTAAATGGAATTACTGAAATAAATCTACTTTTTCATGATATTCTAATTTTATGACCAGCACCTGTATATATTAAAGAGGCCTAGAGATCTAGGTTTTGAGCATTAGAAAACATGGTTCATTTGGTTTAGATTGTGATGGTACTGAAGTAGATGAGATATTCAGGTTCATGAACACCAAGCTTTGTTTTATTCAAATTTGTATGTTTGCAGTGTGAAAATGGTGAAACCCCATGACAAAGAGAGGAGCTTGGAAAAGAGATGCATGATGGGTGATGTTTGGAAATGGTCATTAAAACTGTCAAGACATGTCTACACCAAGATCTAAACATCAAAGAAAAGAAAAAATAAAGGTTAGCACATATTTTCTAATAATAATATTTTCTAATCCTACAGAAGCTTGTTCTCATGTTCGATACATAAGAATTATTACATTCTTGAGAATTATAAGTTTAACTAAAATCCTAATGTGAGCTATTTTTGATTCCTGTAGCATATGCACCTCAATGCACCAAAATGCCAAATTAAAAAAAGAAACCTTGTCAAAGCCACGCCTTGCCACCCTCTTCGCCCCTTTTCTGCCTCAATGCCTCTTTAAAGCGCAAAACACTGCACCATATCCTTCTCACAATGGTTCAGAAACTGTCTATTCCTCAGTGTCAGCAGTCTTGCTTCTCTGTCTGCACCTAAGGCTTTTAATGTTCTATTGGATTGGCTATTGATCATCCACTGGCTCAGATGACTGAAACCAGTGTTGCACAAGTAGAAAGCTCATCTTTGTGCCTCACTGGGCTTTCTCTTCTATCTTGGATGCACCTCTTGGAGGCCACTTAAGACTGTGTTACACATGCAGGGAAATGGCATTGCTATTGTTCAAAGCTGTTGATTGATGGAGTAACGGATTAAAAGAGACATTAACAGAATGAATAGATTGCCAATTCACCTTTAAAGCGAATGAGGCTGTAAATGGCTTCAGCTAAAACAATGGGGCAACTATGATAGGGCTGCACGATATTAGGAAAATCTGCATTGTGCGATAACAGTGCTTAATATTACGATGATGATACGACTTGCGATAAATGAGCAAATACATAAGTATGTAGTGTTGATATATTTCTGCTTTGGGTTCAAAGCCAAGAAAACCTAAAAAAAACTAAACATTTCCATTACAGCCTGATTTTTTTTTATATGAAGAGATCCATGTAGTTAACCAAATACTGTGCAGCCCTAAACTATGACACGTTCAATGTTCTAAATCCAGCAGGATATACGAGTGTAGAAGAAAACAATACGTCTCCGGTTCCTCTCTCTTTTGTTGCATTTT